CTTAAGTGACGAAAAATACGATATTTAGTATTGGTAGTAGGTTTGGTTATAAAGGGAAGGGTATGATCTAAATGTCTAGTATTTATAAAAAGAAAGAAAGGAATAAGAGAAACTAATTCAGTCGTTTCTTCTTCCAGGTTTACCTTTGGGAGTGTGGCATTTTGTCAATTCTGATGATGTGGTGCCGCTTTGGGAACAATGTGAACAAAATACCTTCTGCATCAGTTTTTACGCCAGTGACTCGGGAGTTTGTGCTTTCCTTTCTCAAGGCCATGCTTTATGTACTGATGGTACTGTCCCTCTTTGCTTACACGTTCTTCTTACTGTTTTCAGACCACGCAGCTTTCAGTTCACTATATCAGGCATGGGTGAAATCTGTGACGTGGATGTTTGGAGATCTCGGTTACGATGATACATTCGTAGAGCAGCCAGTTCACTATCCAGTCTTCTCTAATGTTCTTTTCCTCGCTTTCCTGTTAGTGATTGGTACTGTGATTGTCACACTGGTGAAGAGTCCTGCAATTGATGAAAAAGAAGTGGAACTCCAAAGGCTTATGGCATTTGCACAAATGATCTTGAAATTTGACGTGTGTTTTCAGTGCTGTAGAAAAAAGGTAGTTAGCGATGGAACAACCAATCTAGGTTTTATGCAGAAACTGAAGAAAAACATTTTTGAAGACTGTTATCGATTCTGCCGAAGGCGCCATGTTATTGGCAGAATAAATGTTACTAAATACAGTTTCGCATTTGATCTTCAGAAACGTTTGCTGCAGTATTTCCTAGGCTCTTGGCTTGTTGAGAAATCGTTAAACCAAAACAATGCTGATGGAGATTACAGAAATGAAGAAATGAATCGTAAATTAGATGAAATTATGGGTATGTGTAATCGTATTGCCGACAGTATTCGAAAGCATGAAGATGAAATTTCACGGCTAACCCAGAGGCAGCTGGAAAACTAAACACCTGCATACAGTAGAACAGCTCAAAAGTTTGTTATACCGAGTTTCTATTCGCACTTGTATAACATTATACATTTATGTTTTACATTGTTGTAGTTCTAGATTTACATAATTTTACATGGTGATTAATTGTTATTAGCAGGGTAACTGGATGTTGCAAAAATATATGGTTAAATTATGAGAAATTTTACAATAGTATCTCACATGCTATATAAACCGTGGTAGTAGAGACATTTGTCTCCACGACTTTCTAAACCTTTTTGTGCGCCACGAACACGGCAAGAATTATAAGTCGGAGAACATCCCATTATAAATTGTGAGTGCTTTGTGCTACTGAATATGGGTCTTCTGCCCATCACTGCACATCACTTATTAACCTAGACAGACTCTGGTGGATGGCGTGACTTGGAATGTTAACGATTTTGTTTTCTCTTATTTGTTATCTGGTTAACTGCCCATTCTTTTATTAATAGACATTAGACATAAAGTTTGATAGAGTTATGTCTTCAACATACATGCATAGGGTTATGCATGGAAAACAAAATACTTTTAGTGTAAAATTAGAACGACGAGATTCCCCTGCAGGACTCTTTCTAGTCTAACTGTCCAAGCCCAAGCATCAAAGCTTACAGAAAGAGTTAGAGAATACTGATACCTGTATACATCTTGAATTATTCCCAACTCTGTTTTAGTATAGGTTTTCGGGCATTCCATAATATACGGGCCCCTTCCACATTTCTACCCTACAGGCTATTGACTTGCTCCAGAAAATTTAATCTTAGAACAGGGAGAAGTCTCCCACGATTGCCGTGTGTGTCAACCTGTGCCACTAGTAGAAATAACTGGGGCTTAACTGATTCGGAATACAGCGCCCTGCAGCTTGTAATTGGCCCCTTTTATTCTTTAGCGTAGTCAGATATGCAGCTTGAATTTTAAATCAATGTTAAGGTTTAGATAGCTGTTTCCTAACCACCCTTTTCAAGCTCAGGAGATGAGGCTTGTTTTATATGTCTGCTCATAATTGACTGAATACCTTTGCGCCGCGATGTCTTGTGTTTATGACTGAGGGAAGCTATGGATAGCGGACAGAGTTGGTTGGCTGTGTGTGCTGTCGAGACTGGTTGTTGAATGTAAAGTAATTTTCGCTATCTAAACATCACTTGTAAAGGAATGTTACATTAAACTGTGATATAATGCCATGTTTTTAATTATATCCATATCACGGCATCATGTGTGTGATCCCTCCTTCCAAGACCAGCAATGGTCTGCACTGCTCATCCTTGTAGGGCTCTTTGAGTACACCAAAGTATTTTGTTTTCATGTCTCCTGTAATAATTCCATTATTTATTCTAATAGAAGGCAAAGGAGAGGTGAATAGTGTTTTTTTTCATATCTGAGGTTAATTTATTGCCATATAACAAGTCTGGAGTCTTTAGTTTCTTTTTCATTTGTGGAGTTCGATCTATCAAGTTATTATTGCTTTTGTCCAAGCCTTTTGTCAGTGGAAAGTCAGTCATTGACTTAATTAGAAAAGAGCCAAGTAACTGAGAGTTGGGTACGAAGAGGACTGGACGTTGACACTGTAAAATTGGTGCCTGTTGGATAAAGGGCTAGGTAGCCAAGCATAGTGGTATAATTTGTATTGCCAAATATCATGTTGGTTACATATTGCAGTCTCAAGTTGGTTACATATTGCAATCTTCAGAATTTATGAATGTAAATCAACATAAGATCATCTTCCATCACAAACTCAATATGATCTATATCAATAACTGTCGACATCGATGTCAGCTTCATTAATATTGCCTTGTTCCATATCATCATATATCTTCGCTTTACTAAGATTTACTAGCAGACCTGGTCTTTGCTTGTGCTGCCAAGACATCAAATACAAGTGAACCAAAAGCAAGTCGTATTTCACCTGTTAACTCTACTGTCGTAGACACACGAAGGCATTATCACGTGGACAACATGAGGGCGAAGCGGATGCTACTGAAACGGGTGAAACAAACAAGCAAAAAACGAAGTCACAAGAAAATAACTCGGGTGGCAAGTAGAAAAAGCTAAAAGTGATAAATTAATTGTTGAAAATTTGCTAGGACACGGGGAAGTCCTGATGCGGATATCGTTCAAAATAGATTATATTATATCTATATTAACTGTTAAGGATGTGGCCGGATGGGCTTCCATATCGAGAATAAAAGACGCTCAGTGACGGACAACAGCGGACTAGATTTTGGAGTTGTATCCAGTGGCCATGTCTTTTTTATGGCACATCTTGGTAAGCCCGGTTGAAGTGATTTAGTGCCTTATCTTGAGGGAACATAGTGGACGGGAGAGGGCTATGGATAATGTGGATTAAGTAGGATTAGGGATTATTTATAGATTTATGTGTGGCTATATAATGGACCAAGTAATGTATTTGATCAAGTTGATTTTGGAAGTAAGAATTATATAATGAAATAATTACATATTTGATTTTCAAGTTTTAAGAATGATATAACTGAACACATTTAGACTTATTTTTTAAAGTGTAAGGATATATTAAGTTAGTTTAGAAAGTAAAGAATTAATTGTTTACTTTTAAGAGACGCAGCTCGTTTAGAGGGTGATTTAATAGTGATGAAGATTATTAATTTCCAGTGAAGGGTAAAAATAACTATGTACACATAATGCATAATGTATGTATTAGTTAAGTATTTTTTAGAGTAGTTTTTTTGTTTAATTTAGTTACTGCTTAATGAGATTAATGTAGCATTGTAATTGCTTGATTAAGATATTTTTCTGACCATTTTCTTGATATATACTCATTTCCTCTTTGATAGAGACAATCTTAATATTCAACTTAGTAAGTATGTATGGAAATTAACTTTAATTAATTTTAATTGCTTGGTTTAATTATTTTAATTGCCTGGTTTAAGTCTCTCATATTGCTTCAATATAATTTCACTATATTTTGTACTAAATTACAGAAACAATTATATCTACGATATCAGTAATTACACATGAAAAAGGAATCATTTTACTTACTTCTTATAATTATTGTTATTGTCTGTTTAGAATTATATTGTTGTTTGCATGTTAGCATTTAGAGCAAAGTGGCAAGCTAATTGTTAAAATTAATAGATGAATATTCCAGGTGGCATAGTTATTGTGTTGGATTATAATGGACTCAGATGTTGTATTATTGGCATATCCATTTATGTGATTGGCTTTACATTTTGACTTTATAATATTTTTTTTCGATTAATAGATAATATATATATATTTTTTAAAGGTTAACTTTTCCTCATATTTATCTTAACTAAGTTTGATACAAGTTTGATGAGTTTAATCTGTGAGAGAAATGTGGCTAATATGAACTATAGAGATTATATCAGAAACTGAGGACATAATATATAATAACTGATAAAAAAGGGGCAACAACAACAACCTACACACATATATCTCTGTCTTGAACCCTGTGATAACAGAAGCCACAGTATTATCACGAATTCCCGAAATATTTGCAACTTGCTCATGAAAATTGTTTGAAATCTATCCTGCTACTTAACATTCAGACATGGAAGGGCATACTGTCATCTGCGCCATATGAACCGTTCACTATTCACTATTTACATTGACAGACTTCTTCGGCCTGCCTAGAAACAGCTAATACTTAGACACCTGTAAACCGGATTGGTACCCGAACACCATATAACACTAATAATGCTATATGTGATGATAAAAAATCAGGATCACTCCAGTCTACATCAGCTTGAAGAGAGCCATCTTCTGACATGCTCACAAATCCATGCAACCCCTCTGAAACACGCGTTTCAGTGGTTAGTCCCTTATTCCTTGATAAAGAAAGCCTTTTACTTCGAGGGAAATTTCAACAGGTGCCTTAAAATTACAATGCCCCTCAGCCACTTCTCCACCTCATGACGGTACCTAAGAGGGTGGGAAGCTTGGTATGAAAGTGGGACTGTGCTCTACTGTCGGTGGTCAACCAGATGGCGGCATATACGGAACTGAGGCAAGTGGGCTGAGATGACTACAGAAAGAGAGATCTGAATCAACCATGGGGCTGTTTTCTACAGCAATTAACAGCAAATGCAATGAATCGTTCTGTCTTCTAACTGCCGAGTCAACTACTCATAGAGTTCACGCATAACTATTACTACTGAATCCTCCCTAGGCACTTGGTGGGGCTCCATAGAGTCCTGTATTGTGCTTCCTTCGGGTGATGGGACGGGATTAGATTCTGTTTTTTTTTTTTTTTTTTTTTTTTTTTTTGTGGGTCACGAGCAGCGTTCGGAAGAAACGGGATGAGAGATCAAAGGTATAGGCTGCCAGATGGCATTCGGAAGTATTCACGAGTTTAAACAGGCAGGGGAATGAAAACAAAAACACAAAAAGTGGCGAATCAGTATGAAACATGAAGATAAAAATCTGCACTGTTAATAGGCAAATATATAAACGTAAAAAAACGTGAAAAAACAGTGGTTCAGTCACTTGTTACTTTTTTTTATTTATTAAAATTATAAGTCGAGAGAGCAACGGCGTCCATTTATGACGCACCAACAGCGCCAGGAAAGGATAGGGTAAGTGACGTCTAGGGAAAAGGAGGGACGCAGCCAAAAGTATGGTACGGAATTACGGTGTGATATTTTGTCAAGTACGGTACAGTACGAATCAAGTACAGACACACACACATATGTGTGTATATGCATATAATATATATATATATATATATATATATATATATATATATATATATATATATATAAATATATATATATATATATATATATATATATATATATATATATATATATATATATATATATATATATATATATATATATATATATATATATATAGGTATATATAGGTATATATATATATATATATATATATATATATATATATATATATATATATATATATATATATATATATATGCATGTATATATACACACACATATACATATGCATGCACACACACACTGTAATGGTTATTAAGGGAAACCTCTATAACATTGGTGACAGGGAAGTAGTAAAAGCTTAGTGGCTAACAACTCTTTTATTGATAGAGCTAGCACACACAGAATAAACACAAGATGACAAGGCTTGGGTTAAGGCGAGGGCGCCTAGGTCAGACGGCAAGCCCTACCAAACGGCAACCTGGCCGCGGGGTCAGGCGTGACCCACCTCGACACAGAACACTCTGCTTTCAGGGATCATCTGCAGGCCTTAAATATCCGAGCGTTGGCTTGGGGATTCCCCCAAGCCACGCGGCTGGACGACGTGGGGAACGAGGCTAGGTAGCGTCCAAGCCGGCAGGTAGCTAGCGTGGGCGGCAACGCTGCTGGTACAAGCATCCACATGGTCTTTATACAGTATATTGTATATTGCTCGGCCACCTACTCACGGCTCGTCCTCGGGGCGATCTAGACTTCCTCAAGGGTGACCCAACCTGACTGGTTCCAACTTGCTCGTCCTCGATCTCGGGTGCGGTATCCTTGGTGCATCTCCGTGGCTGCTCGTTCTGTGTCGTCATCCTCGCTCTGGTTCCTGGGAATCCGTTCGTCCTCGACATCCTCACGTCCTCGAGATTGGTCTCGCCCGGTCCTCGTCCAGACATTCTCGTCTTCCGCGCACAGGTCCAACTCGGCGGCTTATTCGCTCAATGCACGTCTTGCAGATCTCCGTCCAGGTCCTTCTTGGCTGCACGCTCGTACAGACGTCCTCGTAATCTTCGTCAGGATCTACGGGCGCCTGGCAGGAAGCGTCTTCTTCAACATCGTAGGGCGGCTGATACCTGCACTAATGAGCTCCTGGAGTTTGAATGGGTCTGCGGTGTCCAGGCAGGCCCGTCCACAGCATCATGGGACGACGAACCTCTACTGGCGAGCCGTGTCGTCGCTGGATCTCGGGGCGTCCTGGCGGCGGCGATCCTCTGATGACGTTTTCAATGGCTTCCGAAGGCGACTGTTTCTGCAGCAGGGCCTCCTTCGGTGCCGTTTCAGATATCGGGAACCAGAGTAACACATAATGGGCCAGATAGTGAGAGAAAGAAAAACGACAGAGAAGAGAAGGTGTTAAATGCTACAAGGCGATTTTTTTTGTTTCATAATTTGCAGTTTTTAAAGTTGACAAGTTACGCATCACGACTAACAATATTACGGCAACAAATACGTATGCCTGCAA